AGTTTTTACCACATATGAAGATAAAAGCTCAGTGTGTTGTGACACAGTGTAACAGGAAGACTTGATTTGTTTCTTGGTTTTGTACTCGGGACCAGGGAAAACCTCTTTGAAAATTTTACAGTTGACTGAGAGATGAAGAATGCATAAAAGTCACTCAGATAAAACAAGGGGAAAAGTGTTCTAAGAGAGGGGAACACGTATACAGACACGTCAAGTCCTGATGTGGGAAACAGCTTTATTCCTGCGAGGCACTGGGTGAAGGCCTCTGTGGAGGGAGAAAGGCGTGGCCGGGTCAGAGAACAGAGCCGGTCAGCAGGGAGGCGCCAGAGCCCGCTGGGCCTCATGGGCCACGCTGTGAATTGTCTTCATGGTCCGAAGAGCCAAGGGTTGCCTTTGAAATGTTCTGATCTGGAGACAACATCAGATATGATGTGGTTGATGAAGAACACCATGATTCATGTGTATAATAAGATGCATTTAGCAGCATGAAAAATGAAATGAGAGTTTTCTAAGAATCAACTTATTAAGCTGTTTCATAGAAGTGTTATTTTTTTATGTACCACTTCCAGATAGGAAAATTATCCTCCCATATCAACCACCTTAATGTCTCATCGTTCAACAATGCCAGGGTCCAAGAGGTATCATGAGGGTGAACCCTGATTATTCAGAGAAGATGCCCTCTGATGGCCTCTTCCTTCCATGAAGAGAAAATAAGCTTCCCTTAGCCTCACTGTGAACGAGCTTTTTAATATTCCAAAGTTTCTCTTAGCTAGACCAGACTGAAAGCATACATAATTATTTGAATCACCTTAAATGATTTTTTTTTGTTTGGCTATGAAACTAAAATTCATTCATTTCCAATAAACTTATTGTGACATTTAATCATCTGGTATTTTTTCGTGAAGGTTTAAACACTTAAACATCTGTTATTATCAAACAGATTGAAGATAACTGCTCTTTTTGAGTAATACCAAACAATGTTAGAGTCAAAACAAAGGAACACATCAATCTTTTACAAAAGCATCTTAATGCTAATATTTCTTATTTTAATTGCTTTCCTCTCAAACTGTAGGCAATCTCAAATTATCTTTTATTAGACTTTTTAATCTTTAAACTTTGATCATTTTGATCCATAATAATCCATTTAGATTGAAAATTATCTTGTCTGATTTACTTAATTTAAAAAATGCTATGTATATCATTTGCTGTATTTTATTTGATAATCATAATTTGACCATGATTGGTTTGTGATGAATGACATTTATATCATTAGAATTAAAATAACTATATATTGTCAATATAATTCTGATATACCATAAATATAGTTAAACTTTCTGGAATAAAGGAAGTCTGTTTTCCATAGCTTTTTAACTAATTAACATCCAACTTTTTTGAAGAACTCTTTGTCCATATTAAGAACAGAAACTTGTGTAAACTCAAATACTTATTTTTCTAACTAATAATCAGTTGTCTTCACATGCCTTTACTACCAAATACAACAGATAGAAACATATATGGATAGAGGAAAGGATGAGAAAGTAAAAAATAGGAAACGTCCACAGAAAACAGGTGTATTAGTGACATGTCTATGGTAACCACCCAGTATATCCTCTAATCACAGTATATCCACAAATCACAATTTGTGATTCCTATTTATGGAATTAGACATTCATGTTCCTTGCATGATGCTGATACATCACCCTCCTTCCATATAATCAGTCTCAGGAAACAAGGGGAGAAAACACAAAGATAGAGAGAAAATAGTTTGCAACTCTCAGGAAACTAAGACTGATGTGAACTCGTATGTTGATGTGAATTCTGCTTTTCTCTAGCCTTTGCCAGAGCCAACCTGATCAAAGTATTATGGTGAGAGTTCCTTGTAGTAAATCTGGGAAGCAGTGGCAAACACCCAATAGGACAGATAGAAGGAAAACAAGAAGGGCCCCAGTCACTTTCCACCTGTTTCTCCAAGTCCCAAGAATGGCAGATTATAATACAGGGACCCTAGATCATGACTATAGAGTAGAATCACCTGGGGGAGTCCTTATAAATTCCAATGTCCAAGGCACACCCTCAACCAACTATATAAGAATCTCTGATTATTGGATTTTCTTGTCTTATTGCACTTGCTAGGATCTCCAATACCAAATTACCAACACAAATAAAAGTTGATTTTAGAGGGAAGACTTTCACACCTCATCTTTAAGGATGACTTTTGCTATACATTAATTTTGTAGACACCATTTGTTAAATAATCAAATATTTATCAAGAGCAAACATTTAATTCTATCAAATGCCTTTTTTGCATCTATTGAAATGCTCAAAAATGTTCTATTATGTCAATTTAGTGAATTTTATTTATTTTCAAATGTCATACTAATTTTGTATTTTTGTAACACAAATTAACCATCAAGTTTTATCCATTTAATGTGTTGATTGGCTAGATAAGCCAGTATTTCATTAGGATTTTTTCAGTGTTACTTATTAGTTCATTAGCTTACGTTTTTAATGTAAAGTCTTGTCATGGCTTTGTTACCAACATCAAGTTAGCATAACATAAAATGAATTAACAGTTATTCCACTTTCCCTTTTCTCTGAAAGAATTGTATGTAACATAGACATCAAGTCCTACTTAAATGTTTGACAAAAATTAGCAACATTTACATGAAGATGACTTTCTGGGAAGATTTTAAATTACAGATTTATTTTGTTTAATAATTTTATGAATATTCAGATATTCTTTTGGGAAGAGTTTCATGGCTTGTGTCTTTCTACCAACTTGGCTGCTTCTTCTAAATTTTAAATTTATTGGCATAGTTATTTTTATTTTAATTTTATGAGATTTCAAGGGCTAACCTGCTCTCTGTTTTCTGTTGCTCCAAACAACAAAAAAGGTTATTGAGCTATAAATTATATACAAAAAATGTGCACATATTTAGTATATATATTTTGATGAGTTTGGACAGATTCATAAACCCATGTTACCATCACCACAATCAAAGAACTAAACCTTGATACCATCACCTCTAAAAATTCCTTGGGTTCTTTTGTGTGTGTATATGTTTGTATTTGTGTGTATATGTGTTTAGCAAGAACTCTTAACAGGATAATTACTCTCATATTTCTAGTAGGGCAAAGATAAATGTAATGATTCCATATATGCACCTAAGTCCAAAAAGCTCAGTTAAGAATGTCATAATTACTTAATATTCTTTTTGAAAAGTCAGGCACATAATTGGAAATAAAAAGAATGTTTTGTAAGATAATTCTATTTATCCATGTATTATTTAATTCATTGTGAATATATTTAATTAAATTAATATATTTATGTTTCTTTAATAAGCAATATTTGTACTAGCAGCAGGGTTGTTCCTGTGGGGCACAGCACACATTGGAATCAGTTTAAACACCATTATAATTATTTTCTGTTTCACATTGTTTTTTGTGAAATACTTGCCTTTTTTTTAGGTCAACCACCAAAAGCTTAACTCCACAAAGATATTATTAAAACTAGTGAGATTTGATGTTTAAGCCATGAACTACTTCAAACAATTTGTGTAGCATCTGTCAGAAGTTGCTGTGCTTCTTTCAAGTGTTTAAAATATCCCACCAGCAGCTTAGTGCACAGTTGCCTTACCTCGCAGTTTAGGGACCATGGAATTAGGGAAGAAAAATCATTCTATATCTCAAATGATTTTCAATATCATTCTTTTCACAATATAAGTCACCCAACCAAAAATAACCAGGCACATAATGTCACCAAAAACTAAGCACAAAATAAAAACCATCCATAGGGATTGCAGATTATAGGACTCTTCAACATGACTTTAAAATAAATATTGTTAATATGTTCAAAATAACACAAGAGAATACAGATTTATAAAATACGGTATCTAGAAATAATGAATACAATCATTTCCAGGAAGGGAGTATTTGCATGATGATTTATAATATGACGGAACTCAGTATTTGAGCAAAACATGAAGGCAGTGCTAACATGATCTCTAAGGGAGGAATTTCAAGAAGGGATAGCAAAGAAGATCTCATCTCTACTTCTCATCAAAATCGGCCATGGAGTATGTAGATCAACAAACAAAATGTGTAATCTAATTGGCAGTCATACATGAAATGTTGAAATAACTATAAGGTCGAAGAGCCTATCTGTAAAATGAAGCCCAGTTGGTGATGGAGTTATAGATCACATTTTATCACAGGCGTGAAAACATAATGCTTCCACACAGTTGTAACACAAAACTGGGAGGAAATTCTGACCATTTTTCAATAACTTAAAGAATAGTATATATAAATTTGGTTAAATTTAGCCCCTTGCCTGGGATATACAGTCTAATTATAGTGATTCTCAAGAGAAGTATTGGAATCCGGTTTCAGGAAGGGAGCGGGGCAAGTTGGAAGGTCTGCACGTGAACACATGCAGAACAGAACCTCCTATTCGATAGTATCACTATTTTTTTTCGCATTTGAGAAGTGAGTAACATTCTGTAGTGCCTTTATACTTAAAGCTACTATTTTGTCATGAAAAATGCTATTCATATTTAAGACACTTTCTTCCCTACTAAATTATAAACTTCATAAGAACGGGAACATACGTGTTTTGTTTAATCACTATAGCACAGTGCTTTATGCATGATGTATGTCCAGGAACTCCTTGTACGATTGAAGACACAGATAAAAGTTCAACAAAATCTCTTTGAGCAATTAAGCATGAATTAAAACCATTGAGAAATACAGTAGAAAGTAGGTCTGTATTTATCTGTTCTAAGTTCCCTTTTCTGTTTGTTGGTGATAGGAAGCCTGGATAAGGTTATTGCTGTGTTAGTAAAGGAGAGGCTCCAACACATGAACAGAAGGGCATGGGGAGCCTGGAATCATGTCAGTGGACAGCTGGAAGTAGTTTGGAATCCAAAATCTGCAGGTTGACCCAGAAGCCTGTGGCATATGCAATATTGGTCCTGCAGAGACATAAAACAAGGAAGCCAGTGTCAGGCTTCATGCCTCACAGCAGAAGAAATGAACAGAAATGGGCAGAACCTCTTCTCCAACATTTTCTACATTATAATGAAGGTAATATTAATAATAACATAGCTGTTAGCCATTTGGACTGATACTGATTCAGGAATTTTCAAATTTAGAGGGTAAGTTATTGAACTCAACATATATAGTTCCTTACCAGAAAAGTAAATGTCACAATCTGTCTTGATGAATTAATAGAAGGTTGAAGTAAGATCATAAAGGAGGTTTAGCAGAATACTTACTACACAGATTTCAGTAAATTATTGCCAAGGAACCAGTGACAATAAATTTTTGCCAAAGTATAGCCTTTAACTGTAGACAATATTATAAATAGCTTCCCTGCTTTTAAAAATATTACTCCAATAATTTCAAAATTTTAACCTAAGAACTCTATGAAGATGAACAACTACTTAAAAAGTAGATGGGCAATTTAAAAAAGTATGAAGTACAGAGGTATGTTTTATGGTTTTCAGGGCTGAAAATTAGATTTTATTTGCATGCATGACAATTAGTTTAGCTTAAAGGGTAAACCACTATATCAGATAAGTGCATTTTTTCTGGATTCATAATTTATTCATATTATTTTGCCACACAGCTGTCCATCCTTATGAGAATTAAGTGCTTATTTCTCTTGTATTACGCAGGTTTTGTGCCAGACTGTCAGCTTATAAACAACACATCTGTATTGAAACTTTGTTTATTCTAATGTGAATCAAAAACTTCTAAGTTGCCAATCAAGATTTACCCATTTCAGATAGAATCTAGATGTAAGCTGTCTAGATGTACAAGATTCTACTATATTCAACTATTTTCTATTTACTAACAAATAGAAAAATAACAAAAAGAAGGTCATGCTACGATTGAAACCCACTTTTTTCAATCCAGATAACCATAAACCAATAATCTTATCAATCTGAGAAATATAGAAAACATTAGGCATAGGTTAGATAAGATTTCCCATTACATGAAAAATGGTGACAAATAAATAGTATTTTATAATAATGAGGCAGAAAAAAAGAAATTAAAAGAGAATACAATTATTCAAGTTAAATTGTCGAATTTAGCAATCTAATTTCCTAGTGAATGGTGCTGTGGCCTCTTTAAGTGTCACAAATAACCCAGATCTTGACAGTTTTGTCTCATCAAAGTATTGTTTCCCATTCATAGAATCCCAGGAGTACAGGCAAAAAGGATTCAAATTGACACCTTGGTAAAATGTTAAACCCTTGGTGAGCTCCTATTTAGTTCCTTAAATCATTCAAAAAAGTAGCCAGCATCAGAAGGGATAGAAGCAATAAAATATTGGCCAAATCCTATCCACAAGTAAGAACAGAGAGCTAAATGTATACATGTCATTATATAATTATCAACAGAAGTAAATGGAAGATTAAGGAATATGATCAAGATGTGCAAGTAATCTTACTTATATAACAAAACATCGTCTAAATAGAACTAATCTATGCCTTAATCTTCCTGTAAATCTATCTCTTTATTTTTGGGGAACAGAATCCCTTTATTGTGTAAGAACTATTCTATTAAAGGTTTTCTAAAATGAAAAATGCCATTTAAAATGTTTTCTTTTTTCAAAGAGATCAAATTTAAACAACAAAAGAATAAAATACTATTGCATGGTGCCTTCTTAGCATTTGACATTTAGAGGCATGAATGATTGATAACTCCACTTTACCTAGCAGGGAGATTAATCTTTATGTAGATTCAAGAGTAGAAAGAAAGAGACATTCACATTTCTTGCTTTTATACTAGTACTGCTGTAAATTAGAAGTGTCTAAAAGTAATTTGTCAATTTATATGCATGGAAATAACTCTATTTTTGTTTAAATGTATTAACATTAAAGTTTCCCAAATAAGGTAACCACTGCATATTTGAAATACCATAAATTTATAACTCATTTCTATGAAGTTATCTTCTATCCTTTTATTGGCGATTTGCTGAGTAATTTAGCATGCTATTCAAGAACCATTGGACATTAATTTCAAAAATGAGTCATGGATAATGGAAACACTATGTTTTTACCTACAAATTTTACATGTGAAATTACCACATGCTCACAGTGAATATTAAGCAAAAACTGAGTTTACCATATAGTTGAAGAATGTTTTCAAAAAATTTCTTTTCATACTGAGCAATATGATTATAAAAGTAGTTTAATTTAGTAACTATTGTCAAAATGTCAATCTGACTACATTTTCAATCCATATTTTCAATTTAAATTGTTGAAATTTCTAACAAAATTTCAATCTAACCCATATCTCTACGCTATTTCCATAAATTTAATTTTATAAGTCATAAATTACCTCACTGAAATCTAATGAACGCAGGATTAATCAACAAGATAAATCTATATTCCTGTGATATGCTCTAGAGAAATGTTTAAAGGACTTTAATGAATGGAAAGGAACATGACAGTTAATCAAAATATATGAATGGAAATTCCTATATGGGGCCCTGGATAGATTCTGGGCAGCTCTCATCCCTCCCATTCGGAGTAATTCCGGTCAAGGTGACGGGACTGACATGACTAAGAGCAAATATATGGGCGAAGAAAAGAAGAGAACTTTTGAAGAGTGGAGGATCTTATTACTAAGGTCTGAAAAAGAAAGGAAAAGCAAGGGAATGTGG